GCAGGGGATAGGGTGAGAGGTTGTCCCAGCCACGAGGGGCTCTGGTGCTCCCGTCCTGCCTAAGGAAGGGCAAGAGGAGACATATAAAAGGGCTATTGGGTCTCCCTGGCCAAATCCTCACCTGCTACCTGTGAAGCTGAGCAGGGAGTACAAGGAGATGGAGGGCAGGATTTCCCCCCCCTCTGGTGCTCCGGTCCTGCCTAAGGAAGGGCAAGAGGAGACATATAAAAGGGCTATTGGGTCTCACTGGCCAAACCTCACCTGCTACCTGTGAAGCTGAGCAGGGAGTACGAGGAGATGGAGGGCAGGATTTTCCCCCCCCCCAAGGGCCAGATCCTGCCTGGGTGAGAGCTCCATGGGAGCCCAGAACCACACCCTCTCAAAATTGGCCCAGATTTTGGGCTAAAAAGCCTGCTTCAGAAGGAGAAGGGGTGTTTGTGGCCTCCTGAAGGGGTGACATGCTCAGTGTTCTGTTTTCTCTGAGGTTGCCTTGGCAAGGAGCAGGAGCACTGGGCATGCAAAGGCATGGGGTGTCTCTGCTGGGGCCTGTGTCATGGTGGAGAGGCCCATTCCAGCTGGGACAAGCAGGAAAATCAAGAGCTGAACACCCTGACATTTTCCCAGTGAGGGTCCTCCATCCTTCCCCACCTCAACCAGAGCCACAGCCAGTGCTGCACATCCCACCCACCCTGCCTCCACTTCTCAGCTCCAGAGCTGGATCCACGGGCAAAGCCAGCAGGGACAATTACCTGGCACAAGCAGGTTGAGCCCATATCCTGGCCAGAGGACCATGGCTGCACTGCCAGCCATCCCCCCAGCACAGCCCAGCAGGGTGGTAGCAGCACACACAGTAAAGGTTGCTCAGCGCTCAGCAGCCTCTGGGGGATGGTGTAGGAAGGGCAGACCCCGTCATGGATCCATCCACAACTTCCCAGCCAGGCTGGAATTGTTCACACTAATAGTTTATCCACCAAAATCTCTATTTTCAGAGAGACTCTAATTATTTCTCTCTGGTGACCAGCAGTGGGACCCAAGGGAACAGCATGAAGCTGTGTCGAGGGAGGTTTAGTTTAGATGTGAGGAAAAGGTTCTTCCCTCAGAGGGTAGTCAGGCACTGAACAGTCTCCCCAGGGAAG